GTATTATCATTTTGTAAAAGTCTGTTCTGATATAAAACTGCACCAAAGAGAACTTTTTGTCTGTGAACTTACAGGGTAGTGTATTCTTTTCCTGAAGCAGAAGCTTTTTGGGCTAAAAGGGTTCTTCATGGGAAGGAAACCCTGGAATCTTCTGGCAAAGTCAGTTCTGGACCAGCCAGGGGTGAGGTCTTTGTCTTGCAGTGTTACTTCTCCATAAACCACTGGTGTTTATCTCCCTGCATCAATATCAGACAGGACTGTGGGCCAACATCACCAAACCAAATGTAACACACTCTCTTAAAAACCCCTGTGCCTCTGGGTTTGATCCACAGGAGACTAAATATTATTCCTACAGGGTATAAACAGGAGCAGAAATTCTGTTATCCTCAAACAAAGACGTTGCCAGTGGCCAAAAGTGGAAACATCTTGGTCTCAGTAACACCAGATGTGCTTCAAGGCTTCCTCTCTTTTATAGCCAAAGCAAACCTGAAGGCTTTTATCATCAGGGTCATTTTTAAAGCAGCAAATAAAAATTTTTAAAGGAGAACCAGAGGACACAGTCTCAAGCTGCACCAAGGGAAATTTAGGTTGGATATTAAGAAAAAGTTTTTCATAGAAAGAGTGATAAATTTCTGGAATGGGTTGCCTGGGGAGGAGGTGGAGTCCCCATCCCTGGGTGTGTTTAACAAAGCCTGGATGTGGCACTGGGTGCCAGGGCTGAGTTGAGGTGTTGGGGCTGAGTTGGACTCAATGATCTTGAAGGTCTCTTCCCACCTGGTCATTCTGGGAATTCTGTGAAGTACATTCAAACTCCTAAAACAGAGGATTCCACAGAAGATGAACTATTTTTGATATTTTCCCCATCTTAATCCATCAGTTGCCATAAACCTTTGCCTGTCCCTCATGAATCCCCCACACAGGCTGCATCTTTCAACTAATTGTTTGGCCAAAGTACAGGTATTTGTGGCTGTGTGCTTTGATGGGAAAATGGACATACCTTTAGTGAAATTGAGGTCAGAGATGTGTCAGGGAGCAGCAGGGCTGGAGATTTCCACCCCACAGCATCACTGAGGCAGGGCCTGGGAGCAAAGGGAGCCACGGGCACATGGGGGATTGGGAAGGACAGGGCAGACCTACATATTTTCATTTTTGCTATGTTTCAAATCACTGTAAATGCCCTTCACATGGATTTCCACCTTGACCTGAGGTGGCCTCAGCCCTTTTTTTTTTTTTTTGCAGGCTGGATACCTGGGCACAGGATGTGTCTCCCCTTCCCACCACATGCAGAATGGCTGCACCAGTCAGTATCTCCATAATCACACAAATCAAATCAAAAAGCAACTGTAAAATAGGGAATCTGGAAAAACTCCAATTTTTAAATGTTTTATGTAGCCTAAGTGATTTTTTTAGGCAGAGAAAGAAAAGGCACCTCCAAATGTTTTTTAGCTACTCTACAAGCCCCATTTAAATATTCACTAATTCAAAGACAAAATAAAACACAAGAGCACATTTGCTCCTAATCCTAGACACCTGATTTCAATGAGCAGAACTTCATTTAGCCAAGGAGCAACTACCTTGAATTCAGTTGTGTTTTCTGCAATTGAACAAATCCTCCTCAGATACTCAAATAATTCTTGCTCTGGGTGCATTAGGCAGCCTCAGGGAAGTTTTCAATGTGCAAAATAGGTAAAGCTGCCTGCTTGAAGGATTTATTTTAATTTGGAGCCAAATCAATCAAACTTTCTGAAAAAAAAAAAAAAAAACCAAAAACATGCTGACATTATCAGAAATAGAAATCTACTCTCAATTAAAAATTTCAGTTACCTTAGCCAACTATCATCTTTACTTCCACACCATAAAAAACAGCTGGAAAAGTAGATTTTGGTCTTTTCAGGGTGTCATGGAGTTTGTAAAGGGGTTTAAAAAGATTTCTTGGAGAGTTAAACTCTGCAAAAGACAGCAGGGGATTAGAGGAGGAGAAAGCAGCTGATGTAATTCAATGATCTCTTGCAGCTGCCCTTTGGGAGTGATTTAAAACGTTCAGGAGAGGTTTGGGAGCCCTGCCTGGCTCTGTGGGCTGCACACATCCCGCTCCAGGAGGTGGCAGCGGCTGCACACGGAACACACAGAACACTTCAACACGGCTGGGGATGCTGTGCTGCCTTCCCAACCTTGTGAACAGCAAAACATCCCTGCCCGAAGCATTCCCGACTGATAAACACACCCACACGAACTCAGGTGTGTCACCAAAAAGGGATCAGGGTTCTTTTCACAGCCCAGATCAAATATTTCTCCAAGAAATTGTAGCACTTCCCCAGGATTATTAACGTTTTATTTTATAAAGCTTCAAATGAAATATCCAAACTGGCACAAAATTAAATGTACAAACTCAAATGAAATACCCAAACTGACACAAAATTAAATGGACAAACTCAAATTAAATATCCGAAAATATACAAACTCACAACAGCTGTAATTGCCACTTGCATTTTATAGATGTACATCATACATTTTGTGGACAAATTCTCATTACTCTGCTCAGCAACAAAACACAGGAACTGAGGTGACTTTTATAAGTAAAGCTGATAAAAAAGTCAGAATAGACAAAATTACTTCATACAACAAACATATGGCATTGTGACTGATGGGTTAAATGCCTAATTAATAAATAAGTTAATTGAATTATATTTATAGAAGCCTGGACAATTCACCTCTGCTCTAACAGAACTAGAGATGAAGCACCTAAAATCAGCAAAGAGATTTCCAGGAGTCAAATGTCTGCCGACCTAAATAATTAACCAAGAGCAGAGCAAACTGAGGGACTGGAATACAGTTTTTTTTTAAAGCTGAATTGATCTGGGACTCAGACAGTGAATGGCAGGCTGTGTCCTCCAATCCAAAAATGCAGATTTTCCTGGGAATGCTCCTGTCTTGACACATCTCGGGTACCTCCTGTGCCTTTTCTTTGCTTTTGGAGAGGTTGAGGTGGAGTCCAGCTCAGTCCTGATGAAAGAGGAAGTTCACCCAAAAAATAATGGTGCAAAGATGAAATCTTTGCCATTATCAGCAATCCCACTCTGGCTCTGATTATTATCTGAGCTGTCATCTCTAGTGTTGTAAAAATTGCTTTTGGAGATCTGGAGGAGAAGAAAATCCATCTGACCATCAGCAAAGGATCTCTCTTTGAGGTGTCCCATTGAAATATGAGACCAAACAATTGCATTTTTTCTCCTAACACTGCAAGAAGAAATTATTGTGACATTGCACAATGATGTGCTTGTCTTTGTTGAAGGACCTCAGCAACTTTCTCAAGGGCTTCTTGGGCCTCAGGTGTGAGGCTTCTGGGAGATGTAATGTTTTTCTTCTCTCAAGAAGTTGAAAAATGGTGCAAGTTCATCATTGCTGAGCCCCAAAATTGGCCTGATCCCATTGATTTCTCCTAAAAGCTGCTGCAAATCCTGTAAATTGCTGACATTGGTTCTGAGTTGTATATTCTGTGGCCTAATTGTTTGCTCTGGGATTCTCCATGTCAAGTATTTCCAAGGTGAGATTTCTTGGACTTCCAGTCCTGTATTTTGGACTTCTGCAATCATGCTACAGGAGCCTCTTGAATTTCATCCATCCTTCAGTTCTGTCACTTCACTTGGGTGTGGTGATAATGAGCTGAGAAATGCTGGGCAGGACTGAGATTTCAGTCCTCAAAAAGCAAAATTACAACAATTTTGTAATTAAAAAACCCCCAAAATTACCCTTTATTTGGGTGTCTCACTGATTGATCTTCCAGGTTTTGGACGTCTGCCCCACAAAACAACATCTGGGCACTAAGATTAGGTCTGTAAATCATTCTGAGCACAAGGTAGCCCAGCTGGCAGCTGGCATTGGGCTTGCTCTGATTTATTCCTTCTTACATCATCTGCCTAATATTTGGCTTCTCCATATTTCTCTTTGGACAAGAAAGGGTTTGGGATCTTCTGGCCTAATTTAATCTCTGTGCAACAGGTTTAGAAGAAAAAAAATCGAGCAGGTATTTTGTGTCGTGGTTTGAGTTTCCTTTTAAAGCAGATTAGTGTTCTAGAAGTAAGTGCTTGTCAGGTGTCTGTGTTTAATTTCCATTAGATTGTCTCAAGACATCTCAAAACAAGTACTAAAACACCAAAAATCCTTATGGCAAAGCTTGGGCAGCAAATAACACTTTCAAATGATGGTTAGGAATCATGGTCTTGGAAACTGGAAATTTTGGAAAATGCTAACAAAGATAGGACAAACATTCTGGGCCTCAGAGGAGTTAATGTTTTAGGGTTTGGTGGGTTTTGGTTTTTTTGTTTGGTTGGGGTTTTTTTGTTTTGTTTTTGGGGTTTTTTATTTGTTTTGTTTTGTTTGCTAATCCGTCATTCACTCTAGCTCAAAGTCTGGCTTTTCACAACAAAACAAGGGTGTTTTATGCTTCAGGAGAGAGAGAACCAGGGTTGTCTTGCAGATCTGTGCCAGGTGAGAAAAGCAGCTCCTGCTCAGGACAGGGAATTTACAGAAGGCTCCTTGTGGGAAATGGAAAGACAGAAACTTCCACAGAGCCAGGAGGGTTTGAGCTGCAGCCTCAGAAGGAGCTTGGATTGATGTAAAAAAAAAAGTACACAGACATTAAGTGGAAAAATCATAAACATGTTTCTGTGGTTGTAAGAATCTGCTTTAAGTGAGAAGCTGTACTGATGAAATGGTGAAGGGTGTATAATTTAGGAGTGTGGTTGTATGGAGTAAACTAAGAGTTTAGAAATTGTAACAGAAGCATATGTGCAAGTGTGACAGAAGACATTGGACAAAAGTGTCTGCAGTACAGGAGAAGTAAATAAAGAAAAATTGGTCAGAAAAGCAAAATAAACCTTGTAATGACTTTCTATTGAGTTAGAAAGTTCTATATTGTCTTGTAATAAAGAATTTGTGACTACTTTGAGCTATAGCCAGTTGCTTGCTCCTTTAAAATCTCACCGCGTCTAAGACTGATGTTTATCTGAGCAATAAATAGTTTTATTTTAGCCCAAAAATAACCCCATCCCTTCATTGTTAGCAGCGAGAGCTCCTGACACTATGGAAAGCCACAGAGGATCCAGTTGGCCACCTCAGGGGTGGAACATTGCAGAGTCACAGCTGCTGGTCCTGCTGGGGCCCCTCAGACAGTGGTGACACCATCCTGGAGCACAGAGGTTCTCCTCTTGGGGCTGATTTTGTCCAGCAGGGAGAGCTGAGTGACGTAGTTGACTGGGCTGGTTTCTCTGGACAAAGCCCCGTGTCTGTGGGTGAAGGTCAGGTACTCCTGGTACTGCCACTTGCACAGTTGTTTCTTCAGCTCAGTTTGAACCTACAGGAAGTTACAAGCAAAAGAGGAAATTAAGGTTTAATGAGCACTGGAGGTAAAATGTGCCCAAAGGTCTGCCTGAGTACTTAGCCCAGATAAGCCAGGATTAAGCTTTAACACATTTTCAGAAGTATTTGAACTCTTCCTTTATTCCTCCTGAAAAAAACGGATTTAATTTCAAAAATTCAGGGGATGGCATGCAGAAGTACATTTGGCCATCGGGGCAGGTCACTGGCAATATTTATCATTTTGGTGGCCCCTGTTCTGCTTTAACTTTCTCTGTTAACCACACAGGCAACCCCTGAGTACAACTTCATGGATGGGTCTCTGGATCTTCCAAGAATCAAATAAATAAGAAAGATTTCCTCCACCAATCCAGGATTCCAGCTCTATCCCAGCAAACTTAAGGCCCTCCAGCACTCCTCAGTTTCATCCATACTCATAACACCTTGCCTGGCAGCAGCCCAGTCTCTCACATTGTCACAGACACTCAAAACTGAAGAAACACACACACAGAAAATAATAATTAATTTTTATGATTGCAAGGAACCACAACAGATGCACTGCTGAGTGGTAATGAGTGGCCAAGCTGCTCCAGGAGCAGTTATCCCTAAGAAATGTGGAAAAAGCCAACCCAGCTTCATCTTGGGCCAGAGATCAGGTTCTGCCTGTCCTGTTTTTTAACACCTTCTGGATTTCTGTGTTGTGAGGTACAATATGCAAGCCATTAAAAGGCTGTTGAAGCAATTAAAAGGCTGCTGGCAAGGAGTCTGTGATACAGAAGGCAGGCTGGAAGTAGAGCTTTCTGTATTCACAACTAAGTGTTGAAGGCACTCTCTCAGAATGGCCATTATAAATTGTTTTCCTAAGTAATGAACATATTTTAGGAATTACTCCTCCTTGGGTTGGGTCACTTGCACCTTGCACCTCCATTTAGCCATTCCTGGGAGGTGATGGAGTGTGTCCATTGAAGGACAATGGAGGGGTTGGAGAGTAAATCCTGTGAGGAGCAGCTGAGGGGCTCAGCCTGGAGAAAAGGAGGCTCAGGGGGGACCTTCTTGGTCTCCACAACTCCCTGAGATGAGGTTGTAGGTGGGAGTTGGCCTCTTCTCCCAGGGAACAATCTCCAGTTGTTCCAGGGGAGGCTCAGGTTGGACACCAGGAGGAATTTCCCCATGGACAGGGTGGTCAGGCATGGGAAGGAGCTGCCCAGGCAGGTTTGGAGTCCCCATCCCTGGAGAAATCCAAGGAAGGTCTGGAGGTGGCACTCAGTAGTCAGGGCTGGGGACAAGGTGGGCATTGGGAACAGGTTGGATTTGGAGGGCTTTTTCAACATCAATAATTCCTTGCTTTATGAGAATTGTCCAAGTTTGAGCCACTGCAGAGACTGAGACACTTTAGTGTGTCGTTCTCAACAGATTTATTCACTTTTCTGAGGATGAGATGCGGTTTTATGTTGTCTTTTTTGTTTTTTTTATTAGATTTGTTAATTTCTTTTGGGGGAAAGTGCCAGCAATTTAGTGAGTTTTTTTAATTATAGGCTCACTACATTCAACCGCAGGGAGTTTACCCAAATTCTACCAGTGTTATGAAAACAAGAAAAAAAGTATTTGAACAAAAGTCCTGATTGCATGAGCTGACCAGGAAAAAGGGAAAAAAGAGGGGGGAAAAAGGGGGGTAAAAAAGGGGGTAAAAGGGGGGAAGAAAAAAAAAGGGGGGGAAGGAGGAAATGACGAAAGTCACCATGAGAAAATAAATCTAGAGAAAGTGAGAAGCTCTACAAGCTTTCAACTGAGCTATCATCATGACAGCTATCAAACATAAATCAGGAGAAAACTCCCCTGACAGGAAACTCAGCGACCATTTTTAAAGGGTCATTGCTTCAAAGTTTATTTTGTGTCCTCCTGCCAGAACTGCATAATACAAAGAAAGTCAACGAAGCTACCAAGGGACAAAAAAAGATATGGGGATGTCATGGTTTCAGGAGCAGATCAGAGACAGATCTGTTCTGAAAATAGGAAAAGAAATTAAAAAACAAGAGGGAACTGTGAGTTTTAAAGGTTTTGATAATCTCATGTAATTGCTACTCACCTCTGCATTTGAGAAGCAATATAAGAGAGCAACAACAAAACCCTAGGACAGGAAGGGTAGGGAGAGAAAAAACAGGGATTTAAAACCTAGAATCAATAAGAGACATCGAGTTTCATTCACAGTGTGTGTAAGACAACAAAGACTGCATATTTCCCAGTTTTCTATTGGAGTTCAGGCAGTGTGACATTATTTTTTGAGTGTTCATAGTAGAATTAAATTTCTCCGTGGACTGGTGACATTTTATATTTATTATTGCCCTTGTACAGAGGCAACAAGGATTAACTTGCTGTTTACTGTATCCTACAAACAAATTCTCCCTCAGATAAGGCAAGCATGGAACAGGGATCATTTGCAACACGTGTCAATGAGGACAAGCTGTGGTGGGGTACAGGGAAAGGGGATAGGAAAAGAAATCAGATGTTCAGTACAAAATATAGAACACACAGGCCTTGACACTCTCAAATCCATGCTGCTGTTCGGAGTAGTTTAACAGCAAAATAAACAATGAGATATTAATATGGTTCATTACTTCTGAAGGGTAAGGGCAGAGCAGGTGGTTATGTACTCTTATTTATCACCCCTCTTGTTGCATAATCATCCCACACCTCTTATCATTATTTCATGTGAAACCATTTTCAATCAGTTCACCTTAATCCACAGATGGGCTTTTGTGGTGCTCTGTCATTGTTAATCAACAAACATAGATATTTTATTTATTTGGTGATTTTTCATATAAAGTGTGAAAAATGCATATTTTATGATTGGCTTTTCACAAATTTTACGATGAAAATCATATGTGTAATGTTAGTAAGTTATGTTGTATTATTTCTCTTAAGTAGGATGTTAAATATAGTTTTAGGTTCCAACATAATGTTAAAATAGAGACTATGTATGTGGGGGGAGGTTTTTTTTAGGAATGAGATATTCGCTTTGAGGAACACCTAAATCTTCCAAAGGAGAGGAATTGATGGTTTTCTTATCAGAAGAAGTTAATTTCTTCAGGACTTGCTCAGACTCGAAAATACCATGGGGATTAAAGGAAACAGTTGACATAAACAGACAGAATTTATTGTTTAAAAAAGAATGTATGCATAACCATGAGAGATATATGAATATGCAACAAGTGTATTGTTTTAAGGGTTATTCCTTTGTTCACAAGGCATGCTTTTTGTGACTTAGTGTCTGAGAGCATCCAGTCATCTGTAATTCTTTGCTTTTTATTGTCTTGCAAGTGTCCTAACTCTAAACTTTATTACTCTAATTGTATTAAAAACCAAGTGATTGTCGTTTTTCACGTGGAGTCTGACCTGGAGATTTCAAATAATAAGGGAGCAAGCAACAGAAGAGCTGATGAAGGAGTGAGATGGGATATGTGCCTTGAATTTGGATGCATCAATAAATCCTGCTGTAATAGCCAGCCTGAAGGGTGGTGGTCCAGACCAAACATCTCAGGCCTGTTAAACCTTTTGTCCATCTTACCTGAAATGAGCCCAGGCCCAGCTCAATGTAAAGCCGAGCCTCCAGACCAGTGCTCTCTGGGAAAAATGCAAATACAATGTAGTGCACCCCAAAGAGGGGGATCAAAAGTAACGTGGACTTTGCAAGTCTCCTGGAAAAGCAAGAATTAAAGAAAAATGCACTGTTAGAAACAGGAAACGGTGGCAGCAACTGTATGTTGGAGCATTTGAAGTTTCATGCTTTATTATTTTACTTTTCCCTTTGTTCCCAACATATGCACCCCACCCTTTTTGCCCTGAAGTAAAAATGACAGGTGATATTTGGGCTGAAAAAGAAAGTTCACATTGTCATTTCTTTTCTTTCTATTAGAAGAGGAGTATAACATTCTGTTCTCCTACCCATAAAATTTTTCTTGCAGCAGTTAGAACAGGTCAATCCTAAAAGACCCAGAAATACTTACACAAAATGGCTTGAATGGCTTCCTCCTCCCTCCTGGGATTTCAATTTAAGGACTAGAATCCTGATCACATTAATGAATATAATAAAGTTAATCTGTAAAGACAAGACAAAATCTGCTAATTTACTACAATCTAAGACATGCCTCTAGTTGATACAAAAACTAAAAATCCCCACTTTTAGGAACTGCACTGCTATAAACCAATGCTCATCTCTTCTCAGCTCAGATCAATAGCTTTAGAAATAATAATTCTATTTTCCACCAATATATAGTTGTAGATAAAAAATTGTGAAAGTTACGTTGAATTATTGTAGACCTACAAATCTTAATATCTTTTTATGTCTGATATTAATGCCTTGTACTTCTGGTCAGAACTTTAAATTTATATTTTAAATTTAGATTTTAAATTGCCTAAAAAAGTCCCCCCATTCTCATCATTGTTTATGACAGGGATTATACCAGATACAGACCTAAAAACCAGATTGCTCCCTCCCTAAATTCAGGTGGTATAAATCTGTGCATAAGGGAGATTTTTCTTGTCTTAAGTCACAATCATAAGAACTCATTTTAAAAGCACACTAGGTAAAATTATCTATATGCAGAAACTCGAGGGAAAATAAAAAAACCTTACTAGTACAGTCAGCAGGATGGGGCCTTTGATGATCCATAACACCACTGCATTTTCATCATCATCCCAACATCTGGAACAACAAGCAAAACTAGGTTTTTTATCTGTCCCATGGGAGATCCCCATAACACACAAAAACACTCCTGCCACAGGAAAGGAAAGTGGTGGACTCTAAGTTTTAAATCACTATCTAAATGTCCCTGGTTTCCCTGTAGTCTCATATAAAGAAAATTTAACCAGCAAGAATCACAGATTGAAGAACCAAAGCAAAGTAAAAAAAAAACAAATTTGTATTTTTAAGCTTCTTTCCTGCTCTTCTTACCACTCTCAAGTCAACTTCTTATTCAACTCTCCTGAGTTTTGAGCAGGTGGGTATAAAATAATATCTTTTCCACCTGATATGAAATGATCTGAAAGCCTTCAGGATAGCTTACAGCAAACAATCTTTCTATCCAGGGCTCAAGTTAAAAGATACAAATAAAAATAAAACAAAATAAAAATAATTAAATGGAAACAAAAGAAGAAATTACTGGAGACAACACTGATTGTTTGAGAAGTTCTCATTTGAAGAGTTAATTATTTATAGTTGATTTATACAGAAACAGCAATTTTTTTGAAATACAATTATTTCAAGAACTGGGCATTAGGGAACTTAAATGAAATTACAATATTTAATATAATATTTCCAGGTTTTATTACCCCATGTATGGACATAAAATCACAAAACTTAAGTGTTCTCTCACTTATATACAAGCTGTAAAATTAAAGCTACAACTTTGAATCATGAGAGTTTTTCCCCCTTACCTTTTTCTGTACACATTTTTTTTTCCCCTCAGAAAAACAGAACACCATAAAAAATAGGAATTTTTGTGTTCCTTATCCCAGCTCTGACTTACCCAGTGTTCTGCTGATGGATTCGTGTGAGGACCCAAGCAAACATCACAGCAGTGGGAGCTCCTGAGCAAATCAACAGGAACACAAGAACTGGTTTGAATATCCTGCCCCATGGGATCTTCATTCCAATAGGTTCACAGTGCAGCAGGTTGGATTAAAACTCAATTTATGGGTCAGACAATTTTCAATAACTTCATGAAAGAATTTAATTTAATTTGCAGTTCAGGGAAAAGAAAAAAGAAAGGAATAAAAGGGCAGGAGAATGAAATCATAACAAAGGAGAAGAGGGGATGTTGTGAAACTACATTTTCAGAAATAAATGTAAAGAATTACTTGAAGGCTTGGATAGGAATTACAAGCACTTATGAAGCTGCAATAAACATTTATTTATCCTTCATCTTGTGGATTGTGGCCAACAAACATCCTTTGCACAGCAGCTGGAAGAGTTCATAATTTTGTCCTAAAGATTCTACTAATCACCCCACACCAACCAGCTGATAAGAATTCCATGAAAATTTAACTGAATCCAGTGATTCCTAGCCTCACTTTATCACTGCTTATCCTTCTGTCCTTCTACATTTTTGACTGGGTTTTTTTTAATGCCTATAAAGCAGAAATTGCTTTTTCTCTCCTCCTGTGGAATTGAATTTCCAATGATAAGTGACTTCCAAAGCTGCCACAAAAGGGACTCTAATGTGAACCAGGTGACATTTTCCCTGATTATTCTATAAAAATATAGGGAATTTCTTTCTAAGTATCATTTGAGATGTGTGGGAAGGGCTCAGAATTTGTCCTTCCAAATTTCTGCCCTTTGCTCAAGTCCTTTAACCTGGGACCTTGTTAAATTGAAGTTGGCTTTTAAATTGATGAAAATAAATATTTCCCTCCACATCACCTAAGATGTGAGTTACCCCTGAGGTATCTCTCACCTTCCATTGATTGCAGAAGGAGATGAGGATTACCACATTATTAATTGAGTTGTTTGCTTTCTTATCTCAAGTTGGCCATGATTAATCAAGGGCTGAGAGTCTACTTTCAGACAAACCTATTTGGAATAGCTCCAAAAAAAAATTTAATTACAATAAATAAAGTCTAAAATTCTGAAGGTGAAGGATAAATTAATATTTATTCAGGATAATTTGGATTTCATTTTTAAGTCCAAAAATGTCATTGTAACTACTCATTTCGGTGCCTGCATTTTAGATCAGCCAAGGTGAGACATGGGAATATCTGAGAGTCACAATAAACAATTCTGAGCAGTGAAAGAAATTTATTTCACATTCCTATTCTGAATATCAGAGATAACTTCAATTGCTGTATAACCTCAAAAATTTCCTTAAAGTCAGGAGATCTCTGAAAATAGAAGAAAAATAAAATTGTTTGATTCCTAGGCGTGGACTGACATTATTTAAGATTAATCTGTCAAATTCTGCTTGCTAAAAACAAAAGGCAACTTAGTCACCCAAACTTCTTTAGTCAGTGGAGAAATTTAACATATTTTTAGGATATTATCCAGCCACATCACTCATCCTCTTGAGGCCTGGACTATTCACCACCATGGTGCAAATAACAAAGATATAAAAGGGAATAAAATGATGCAGCAGTACTGGATGAACAGAAAAGTGTCACCTTTGACAAGCTCCTTTTACCTGGATAAAATACAGATTTTATCCAGTTCTGCAAGCATCAGAAATACTGAAGGGCACAAAGAGGAAGGGAGCACTAACCCCAGCCAGTAAATATGAACCACCACACAAACTTCTTGTTGGAAACAAAGGTCAGCAGCAGCAGGGTTTGCAGGTAGATCCCTTCGATGAGAAGCCAGAAGAAATTGGCTAAAATACTGAATTGGAAGAAGGCCACAGCAGCCTTACAAGCAACCTGAAAGTGCAGAGTAAAAAAAACAAAACCTTTTAGGCTTACTCTTGTAATGGCTGGTTTCTATAGAGCTGTAGGCAAAATTCAATGCTGCCACACAAAATGAAGAAACAACAAAATTTCCATAAGTTTAAGGTTTCGTAATTTAAATTGACTTTATTTTAGATTTATGAAAGGGAAATATTGGGGGGGTTTATCTCACAGATTAAATTCTTTATGGTGGAAATTGTTAGAGCTTCATTAGAGTCAACAGACATAAATATCAAAGCTGAGTGCAGGCTTAGCACTTGGTCTTTGGGTTTACATAATACTGTTTGTTTAAAGATTTCAGTTTTAGCAGTAGGAGAAATAGGATGAAAATATCTCCCTGTTGCCTTCAGGCAAAGAATTAAATGTTCAGTCAAGGGTGAGAGAGAGGGGAAGTTCAGTACCGTTGACATGAGGCAGTGGTCCATGGTTTCATCTGCAAACAAAACAGCATCTTTGGTGAAAACAGCAACTGCTCTCAAGATAAAGGAGACAAACAGGTGCATGTGGATGTAATTTCGTGTGCAGTGGAATTTTCTGGCATGGAAAGAGAAAAATAAAAATTGTTCTTTGAGAGAAGTGTCTCACAGTCTCATCAAAAGTCAAACAGGAGCACACAGACACCTTGCAAAGCAATAAATGATCTGTCACTATTTGAGAGGCAGCGAGACAGGAGGGAGCAGATAATAAAAATCCCAGGATAATTGTCCTTGGATCACCACACATTTAAAGGCAATGCCAGAAGCAGAGAGTAACTGTGGGACTCTTGGGCTGGATTATAATAACTCTTAATTATTTGTAATAATATTTTTGTTAAACAAGCTTGCATCAGGATTTTCAGCCCCTTTGTGCCAAAGAAAGGATTGAATTGGTGTCAGCCACATGTGATGGGATGGCTCCAGAGCATTGCCCTGAACTGAATTAATCTGAGGAGGAGCAGCTGAGGGAGCTGGGAAGGGGCTCAGCCTGGAGAAAAGGAGGCTCACGGGGAACCTCCTGGCTCTGCACAGCTCCTGCCAGGAGGGGACAGCCAGATGGAGCTGGGCTCTCCCCCAGGTAACAAGAGGAGAAGGCCCCAGGTTGTGGCAGAGGAGGTTGACACTGGATATTAGGGAAAATATCTTTATGGAAATGGTTGTCAATACTGGCACAGGCTGCCCGGGGAAGTGGCTGTGATGCCTTAAGTTTTAGCTTTTGTATGTTCCAGATTCTGTACTGCATTGGTATATAACTCTGAACTTCATATAAAGTGTGAGTAAATTCTCATTGGTATATAACTCTGAACTTCATATAAAGCATTAGCAAGCTCTCCTCACAGCTCAGTCACACAGAACAATCCTTTTCCAGCCTGAGAACCAAGGACACTGCTGCAGCTTCAGGCCCAAAATGTACAAACAGCAGTGACTTGAGGAGAGCAGTCTGGGAGGATGGGACTGCACAAACTGAAGCTGTAATTGGACAATTAATCCCAATATGGAATGGACCAAAATTTATAAAACTGTGAAAACTCGTGTCCCAGAATCTGTCTTTGGTCTATTTTGGGTGGAGCCTTGGCCAGGCTCTCGTGCTGCCCAAGGTGCATTCTTTGAAGGCCTTTTTAATAAATCCCTACTTTGTTCCTTTAACTCTGTCTAGCCTCTGTTCCAGGTAGCCTCTTTAGGAATCAGTTGAGTCCCCATCTCTGTGGGAATTTAAAACACACTTAGCTGTGGTGCTTGGGGTCATGGGTTAGTGATGGACTCAGCAATCCGGGGTTAATGGTTGGACTTAATGATCATAAATGTCTTTTCCAGCCCAATATTCCTGTGACTCCCTTTCCCTAGACTGCCCTGTGCACGTTTTGCCTTGAGCTGAAGGAATCTCCCTCAAGGTTTGGACACATCAGCCTCGAGCTCCTGGGTCCCTCTGTAAGGGCCATGACCTCTGAGACTGCCAACCCAGCCAGGGAGCTGCTCTGTGCTCTGCTCAACCAAACCCCAGATCCACTTCCTAATAACCAACATCATCAAATGAAGCATTGAAATTTAATTAAATCTCTTTTTTATAGCTTTCAGTTATGGAAACAATGGCCTTTCACAGAGGGAATGGACAATTTAAGAATTGTCTGGTCCCAGGACATGGGACAAAGTTTCTGAAGAGTTTGTCCTGATGTGCACTGTAGGAATGATTAAAAAATGTTAAGATTTAACTAAAATTAGAACATTTCCATTGTATGGTGTCATTAAGTAGATTAAGAGAGATTGCCCAGCTTGATTGTTTTAACATTTGAAACACTGCAGCACGAGTAGAGAAGGACCCATCACCAAAGGAGTTATGTTTTAGAATGATTAGAAAACAACCATAAAAAAAAAAAAAATCCCACAAAACAAAAGCACAGAGGATCTGAGAGAAATTGTCTTCAGGCATGCTGAGAAAAAGCCCATTTACCTGAAGGCAGCGAAGACAATTAGAGCTGTAATGAGCGAAGTCATGGATGCTGCATAGCCAGCGGTGTAGACACACCAAAATGCAGAATAATAGGATTTCTGTGGGGAAAAGAGACACAGCCCAATGCAGGGGGTTGTGCTGGATGCACCCTGGGGTGCTCATTCCACTGGGACACATTTACCTCACTCAGTCCCACAATCTTTGTTTTTCACGCTCAAGTTCTGTTTCAGGATTTTCCCTCCACCACTAACAAAAGTGTATTTCCTTTATTAAGTCCTACTTAACCCCACACAGGAGAGAAGTTTCACAGTCCACAGGCTCACATGACCCCTCTGAGCATATTCTGCAGGAAAATAATAACTGTGATATATAAACACTTTTTCTCATGTCAGTGCATAAAAACTCTGGAGCAGTGAAACATTCTGGTGGGAGATTTGTGAATCTGTTACTTTAGACCTGGATCAAATTCAATAAGTATTGATTTTCATAAACAGCTATAGCTGAAAGAGAAATCCAACTCTCAATTTGCTGGCAAGAAAGCTGAAAAATTGATAGTTACATCAGGTTGTGAAGGTAATTAAAAGCCAAGGAAATCACCTCACAGTCATTAATTCTCTGGACAAACAATTCATTCCTTGCTGTATATTGTAGCACTGTAAATTCTTTATAACTCACTTGTTTTCAATTAAGATCTATATCCTAACAAATCCTAATCCTATATCCTAAGAAAAATAAAGCTTGTTTTCTTGGCTTTACCTATGCAAATTTTATTCTGATTCACTACAAAATCACCTAATTATTTAAAATCCCAAGACAGTAAATTCTTTGAACCCAGGCAAATTTCCTCCTTATAAACCCAGTGGACACTTTGTTCTCTAATTGATCCCAAATCTGTTTATACAAAAGGCTGCAATTCTAGATTGCGACAACAAATTAGCAATTTTAAATAGATCCATAAAGAGATCTTGTAACCCTGACATGATTTGAATAATCCTGGTGTTTCTGCAATAGCCCTGATAATTTATACAGTATTTTAAAAACACAGATGAAAAATAGAAAAGAGGTTATTTAATTTAATAATAAAGTGTTTCAAATATTTTATCTGGTTTTGCAGGATGGATTAAGAAACAACAGTAAATATAAAGGACATAAAAAGTGCTCACTGCACATACAAAATACAAAGCAAGTGGTTCTATTAGGACAAAATTGAGATTTTCTACTCACTTCCCTATGTGTGCAGTGCAGCAGAGATTGCTGATTTTATCTTCCTTTTGTAGTCAAACATTGCGGATTTGACTGGAATTACAAACTAAACACAGGCAGAGCACAGACAGCAGCCCTGTGCAGAAATCTGCTATCATTGTGAAATAGAAATATGGTTGCTTGCTTGATTTTAGCCCAGACCAGCCAGAAATTACACCTGGCTTAGCATAATCCAGGGACTGCTTGCAGAAAACCCCTGGGGAGTGAATTTAGCCCTATGGGAGAAACCCATGGGGGCTGGAGATCTGTGCTCTAGAATACACATCCTTTTATGAATTTACATCCCTCTGAACTGTTCAGATTATTTCCAGCATCTTTCTAGAAGGCTTTTAAGTGGTTGTTTAAAAGTATTTAATTTAAGCGCATTTTCTAAGCATTTGTTTAAGCTTTAAAAACATGTATTATGCCCCAAAGTGTAAAGTACAAATATTCTTATTTTTAGAAAGTCAATGAGCTCTAGATATGAACACCAGTACAATGAGAAGGAATCTGTAAATTTAAATCAAATCAAGATGTGGATGTGAAAGAAATTCTGAAACTTAATTGAGCATGAACATTGATTTTCAGAGAAAAAAAAATATTCACATCCTGCTCCACTGAATAGCTGAGATACAGTGTGGAAATACTCAATGGCATCCAAGAATTCCCTCCTAAGGATGTGTGTTGACCACCAGGCTATAAAGTTAAGAAATATTTTTTTCTATGACTCAAAGAAAATCTGGAAAAGAATACAAATAGGAAATTCGTATTTTGCAATTTTGTAAGGAAAATTCTGGAATTTTGTAAGGAAAAGTCCTTTGGAATTTTGTGTTCCTATTTGTGATCCAAAGAAATTTTCCCTGAAAAAAAATCCTTGAGGACTGATGGGTAGGGTTTCCCCAGGAGATGTGTTCATGATGAGGATTTACATCACCTCTGTCAGAGCCCAAATCTTAGTTTGGACAGGTGAACTAAGCATGAGTTTAACCAAGAGGAGGCTTTTGGTTGAAGAGGAAAATCCTGACTGCTGCTCACTTGCTTTAGGTTAAGCCTAATTTGTTAAACAAGTTCTAAGTATACCGAAAAGTTTTGGGTTCAGCACTGAAAATGGGCAATTTTCAGATGTGTGGAGCATCCAGCTCCTCAGGAGATGCTGCTCTGGAGATGTTCAGGAGCAGGAAATGAAACTCCCACCTGATCCTCAGGTCCTTTACTGGAGCCTTCATCAAAGCCACAGGCAATGGTGTACGGTGGGAATGGCTCTGACCAATATTCCTCCTGTGTACAGTTCCTCTGAAGGAAGCCTTCAATGGGAAAACACAGCAGAAAATTAATTAGGGGTGCTGGTGCTGCTGTTCTTTAAGTTTTGATGAGTAGCAACAATTTCTTATTACCCCTTTGATTCCTAAGTTAGGGACTTACAGGTTGAGTCATGTTCAGTGAGATTAGCTATAAGAATGACAATATTCTCTATATCTACCCTTTAAAAAATTGAGAGACATGTTCCCAGTCATTTCAAGATGCAGTGGGACTTGTGCATTTCATGTGGGAAATCAACTCTGCAAATCCATTCCTTCCACAGAGGAAATCAAATCATGTATTTACACATATTTTGGGATTTTGGGCAAGCCCTGAGCCCTCTTTTCCAGACTGGAAGCTCCATACAGGTTTTAATCTTGGTCTTACTCTGACTGGAGGATTGTGCTGGCTGACCCCAGGAGGTTCTTCCTAATATTAATTAATGTTCAGTTTTATAAATCATTGATTCTAGGACATATTCCTTAATAAATTCAGCAGCATGGTGCACTTGTCCGTTGTATTTACATCACCAAAGGGATCAAACAATTCAGTAGAGCACAACACAAAACACAAGAGTGTCAATATTGACCCCAAGCCGAGATGTGTATCTGGATAATTACTGAATGCTGACTGACATAAGAGCATTGTAAATCAGGAAAATATGAAGGAATCCTCAACTACTAGAATTCATTAAAAATAAAATTAAAAAAAAAAAATAGGGATAAGAATAATAGGAAAAAAATCTTGCCAAGGGTACTGGTGAATTCTTCAAAAAATCGTGGGCAGGGAATTTTAACCACTTCCCCAAAAGTGGCTCTGGGCCAGCAGGTTAAGCCATCCCAATCTCTGGCACATCCTGTAAAAAAAAAAAAAATGTCTCTAAATAAAGAAAATCACAGAGAACATCACACATTTGATCTTCCATAATGAGATTATCTGTGGCTTTCCCACTCATTCACATGCAAGAAGAGCCACAGCAGGACGTGCAGCTCTGCAAATGAAAAATGGAATGTTGGAATGTTTTCCTTTTCTCCTTGAATGCATCCTTGCTCACACTTGGTATTCCAGCTGGACCTTCCCCTCCTTATCTCATGGGAGAATATACCTGAAATTCAAGCAGACACAACCTGAAAGTCAAATTAATTGGAGCTCTTTTCTGTTGTCAAAACAAAAGCCACAGAAATAAAAGTATTGAATAATGATTAGCACTTGAGATTTCTCATTACTCCTTTCTCATTACTTGAGATTCCTCATTACAGAGTCCAACTGAAATGCATCAGACTTAAAACTCAGTCTTAACCTCTTTATTTCGTGTTTAAAAATCTACCAATTTCACCTGGCTTATAGGAAATAAGGGCTGAAGTCCCAGTCTTAGGCAATCAATGGCATTTTTGTGATTGATTTCCAAAGGGATTAAATTCATCCCAAACTAGAACATCTCATCATTATAAGAGATTACCCTCACTGGGAGTGGGTCTGACTGCAGAATTCATGAGGTTCCCTAAAGCAGAGACTGCTGGCTGATGACACAGATTGTGCTACAGGCTCTGAGCTCCCTAAAAAAGGTTTTCCGAAGTTTCAGTGAATCACAGCTTTGTCACAGCTGCATCACACTGAGACTTCGAGCTCTTGGCAATTGGGCGTGGGGGTAGCACAGAAAAAAATTCCAGCATGTAAATGTGAAACAATAAAAAAAAAAAAGCTTCAGGCTCTAACCAAAACTAATCTCTAGGTAGTCATAAGGGGGATATAAAGCAGGGGATTGGTTTGGAAGATGTTATTTTCTTCCATGATTCTTCTCTGCTGCCTCTGGGATGGATGACGAGGCAAATCTGAAGTTGTCACGTTGAAATGTGGAAGCAATACTTGCCTGTAGCTGAGCAAAGTTACTGATTTTCAAAAGGATAGTCCTGAGAATCTCCCACAGCATTATCCTCACATCACCCTCGGGAGGATGAAATTCCTGGTATACCCAATTTTCCAGGGAAAAGATAGGCCCTCATTCATTAGCTGTAATTTTAATTGCCTCAAATATGTCAGCTAATTTCAGCTACGTTCCCTTTGTCATCAGCAGAAAGAGACAGAGCCTTCCACAGCTGATTCATCCCAAATATTGGTGCCTCCTTCCTGAGGACAGGATGAATCACACCCTGCAAATACCTAGCTCTCACTGATAATTGCAGCCTAAACTGCTAATTGTCAAATTTATGAAGCCAGGTAATATCAGTCCCACTTAGACATGCAGTGGCCCCTACATTTACACTCAGCAGCTGAAATGGTCCTTCTTAGAAAAGCTTGGCAGATTTGAGGGGCTGGGTCTAAAAACCTCTTTCACTTGGCAATGCGGAGCTAAAAATTCTATTTGTATGACCTTGCACAGGAACAGAACTTATATATCTTAAATCTTAGAAATTATTTATTTCCAGTCTCTTCTACAGTTTCTAGCAAAGCAACTGCTGAGTGCAGGGGCTGAAAGGGAATTTTTCATGCCAAGGTTCTCAAGAGCCTGGTGGTGTCCAAGTCACCTGAGACTCCACAAAGACAACTGCAGTAGGAGTTGACACTGTGGATATTTAAATCTTGTTCAATAATCCAAGAATTTTGAGATAGAGAAGGAAAAAACAAAAACTGGAGTTAGGACTCTATTCATATGACCTATTTTACACATCTGCTCCAAAATTAGAGGAATTTCACCCTGAGTTCTGCTGGTGGCATTCACTGGACACTTCTCTGTACAAGAATAATGTGGAACTACTTTAAATTAAAATCTCTGTCACACAGACTGATTCCAGCACAGATTCTCTGTGACTCTACAAACTGTGATCCCTCTATTTGTCTTGCTGAGCTCCTGAAACCTGAAACACAAGCAATGGACTTTTACCTATTTAGTGTAGCTTTAAACTCCAGATAAAATATTTCAGATAAATTAAATTTAAATTAAACTTAAATGCTATTCACAGTTTTTAGATTTCACAAATTTACCAATAGGCCAAAAATTCTTTTTGCAATTTTCTCCCAGTTCTAATATTGAATCCAAAACTATATTGAGAAAGGCTGTAAAATACCAGAACAGACATTTCATTAAAGTCTTTCCTTGTCTGGAGAATAAAAGTTGGAAAGGGGAGCTTTGGGAAGCTCAGAGTGAACAAGGTTGAAGATTTTTAGAAAGTTTAACAGAACTCTCAGGAATTTTTATTTCTTTTGTTACAAACAGGATTTTAAAACCACATAATTATCTTTGTGTTGAAGAGGAAGATGCCTGGAATGACATCCAGGTAACAATTAATTTTTGAAAATGCCTAATTTATACCAGAATTTTTTTGGTGTGTTACTGTGTGTTCTAAGTGCAAAATGTGTCCAAGAGGTATTTTGAACTTTATTTTGGATTATTCAAGTCCAAAAGTGTATAAATTAAAGTCCAAAATATAGCAAAAAAATTATTAAAATGTGTGTGAGAAATAGAACCAAAATAAAATAGGAAACTAGAAGAGGAATATGAAACATGGAAGTGATTGGAAATTCTGTAGAATAACATGAAAGACAAAGGAAATATTTTGGGCTTAAACTCTGATTTTCACCAGGCTGCAAAAGGCAGATTTCCAGGTGGTTCCAATAATTCTATCCCAAATGCGTGAGGTATCTTTGTCCCACAATTCCTCTGCAGAGAACAAATATCTTAAAATTCATAGAACTGAAAAATCTTCAAATTTTTCTAAAGAAAGCTGACCAGAATGAAGTATGACAGAATTTTTGAAAGGGTCTGAACATTTTGGAATTCCATGTTATTCCTAAGCATGTTTCCAAAACCCCAAGGGGGACACCTTACACAGCTTTCTAAATATATTTACAGGCTTTGTTTTGTGTTCATTTTAGTTTTCAAAATTTGTATCAGGCAATACGCTTCTGAACACCACCACAATAAATCTTTACAAGCAAACAAATAATGTCTAAAATTGAAAATAATGTAATATTTTGAAGAACTAGGATTTTCTTTAACTTTTTTTCCCCCCAAAGGATATTTCTACCAGTTTGGAATGATTCCTAACGTGATACAACTTCAGTAGGGTCTTCAGTACCTTCTGTGGGAGTTTCTTTGGGGTTTTGGATGTAAATAAAAACACTTCAGTAATGTGAGACAATCCAAGCCAGGGGATGCCCATCAAGACATTTACCTTTAGGATCAGGTGAGGCAGATTCGTTGTGTTCTGAGCAGAGAGCCTCCTCTTTGACCACCTGCTGGAATATTTTGCATTCTGGATGGATTCCCATAACCTTGGCAAGAGAATGACAAAAAAACAACAACAACAAAAAAACCCCAACCAACCAACCAACCAAAAACAAAAAAAACCCACAAAAACCCCCAAAAAATAAATTAATAAAAAGGAAAACAAAAAAAAAAAAANNNNCTGTGATTATCAGAAGGAGAAAAGCCAGTTTTTACCTCATGGTTTATATCTTGAGGTCTATGAATGTGAAAACTCCAGCTGAAGTTATTTTTTTTTTTTTTTTACAAATAGAAAATATGCAGCACCTCCTCTCCAACCTGCAGCACCAATATCCTCCAATGAAGGATATTTTTATCCTCTTTCCTTTGCAGTTGTTTCCCAGAGAACTTAAATAATGGTCACAGTTTTTGGATTTTCACATATTTCACCAACTGGCCAAAAAGTGGATGAATCCACCAGCTGTGGGATTATTTACATCAAGTCTCCAAACTTAAATACAGTCTGACCACAGAAATATTTCTTTTCCATGACCCAATTAAAATTAAATACATTTATTCAAAGAATGGTAGTCTTGACCATAATTTAATCTGAACAATTGAAAAATTCTCTGGATGTGTTATCTGAGGTTGTTGCACACACCTTAGACTGAGGAACTGCTTCCATTTTAGCAAATGGAGAAATGAGAAAAAAATAAAGAACTGAACGGGAAACCTAAGGAAATTTTTTCCCCCAAAAAAAAAAGGAAAACCAAGTAAAAAGTGGTGAAATGGGGCCAAAATAAACCCAATAAATAACAAAAATTAAGCCCAATTAATGCCAAGGAATTTGCCTGAACCCCAACCCCCCCCCCAAAAAAGTTCAAGGCCCCCGGAAGCCCGGGGCAACAACCCCGGAAATGGGAAAAGGTCCTAAAGAGCCTTAATAAGGTAACAATAAAGGTCCTAAATAAAGGTCCTAAAAAACCTAAAAAACCCAAAAAAACCTCCCCCGCAAAAGCAAAAGAAATCCGAAAAAAAAAACAAAAGGCAAAGGGCCCAAACTGAATTAAACCAACCTCCTTTGCAATCCCTAAGAAATTCAAAAAAGTCCCAAGCCCCCAAGTAAAACCCAAAGAAGGAAAAAAACCCCCAAAAGGAAACCAAAAGCCAAAAAAGGTTGGTGCCGTTTGGGATGTTTGAAGGTATCTCAGCCCTTTTGTGTAGACTCTGCATTAATTTTGTCAGCCCCGTGTAGAAGTATCAAATGCATTATTTGAAATCTCAATGTGTTCTCAAATGCTTCTACACACCCATTTTTAGGAAACTGAATTAAATTGAGTAAAGAAAGCCACTGAACTGTGTTCAGATATTGGATATTGAACTAAATATTGGGCTGTTGGGATCTTCAAGACATAGAGAATCTTATGTGGAATAGACATTCTCTTTTTTTTTTTTTTTTGTTTGTTTGTTTTTTTTTTTTTTTTTTTTTGTTTGTTTGTTTTGTTGCTTGCTTCTTTCTAGCCTATGCTATTTAAGACAAAGCTAGGGGTTCAGTTAGCAGGGATTTTAATGGAAAATGATGGACTGAAGATTTTCCAACAAGTTTTTGAGGAAGACTGTAGGCCCTTTTAACCTCTAATGACTTGAAAAAGTCAGTGCAGATGTAAACATCACTTCCTTATTGCCTTTTCAATCTCAGAAAACTCATTTATTCATCTTCAAAATGTTTTCAGTGAGCAGAGCAACCAGGACTTCTTCTAGCTTCCACAGAAATGTTACTGGAAGTTACGCAGACTATTCCATCTCAGCAGTGATATTTGCCAAGAGGCAAAAATTAGAGCACAACTTTATCTTTAAAAACCTTTAAAAATTCTGCCTACATTTGGGTTTTAAAGTAGCATAGACAGACTTGTCCTAATTATCAGGCCCCAAAGATGGTTCATCCATGATAATATTAGAATAGAAAGAGGATTAGGGGCAATGTTTGAAAAGAAAGTTAAGATATGGTGCTTTTTTATGCCTTATATTACTCCAGTGGGGATTTCAAAATACATTTTGCAAATCAGCATTAGTGACTCCTAAAATAGTACTTTTTACTCTTCAACTATATTAAGTCAATTCTGAAATGAAATTTTTCAGGTATTAATAGGATCCCTGCTCATCACTTTACATTTAAGCAGACATTTCACTTTGCAGTTTGCCCACATAACAAATGAATTCTCTGAGTAGATGCAACAAAATAATTGCTCCATAAATCTCTCAATATTTCAGTTCATAAAGGTGGATTCAGCTGGACAGGAAAAATGCCTTTCCTCTACTTTCTGGAATTCCTGGATTCTGTTAGGGTGATAATTTTTCATTTGGAATATTCTTAGGTTTGGTGTTTAAAAGTCATGGCAGTTCGAGATGATGCTCTACCATCTAGTCTGAGTCCTCTGCCAAAAGGTTATGCTAAAAGGCATAACCCAAAATGCAAACTATTGGTTTCTCAAAGTGAGGATTGAAACACTTGAGATGACATTCCATGTTCAGACTCAGGTGTTGATTATTTCTCATCAGTGAAACAGCCTCACAACCATGAGTTTGGCAGCTTTTCATTAGCAAGGCACAAAATGGCTAACTACCTCTAGTTACAAGGTCTTTTACAACTAAACTGTCCAATTAAGAAAGAACACCTAGATTATTTCCCTTTTAACCCAATAACTGATCCCTCAAAGCTCGTAATGAGGACTTTTCTGTCCAATCACAAAACGTCACCCAAACCCATGAAGAAGAAGGTAAAGAAGAACAACCTTCTCCACCCTAAAACCTCCACCTTGCTTCATATTTATTTCTATATTCTAAAACCCCCAAACTCTTAAGTTTTCCACCCTGTAACATCACACAGTTTTAACCAACTACACACCCATAATACCAGTGCTATCAATCAATTTTTGAAATCTTCTCAATGGCCTCAGGTCAAATTCAGTGTTCTCTTGTGGGTCTGTGCCTTTCAGCACAGAAAGTCTAAAATTCTCAGCATCCAGGATTCCAACATCTCCCTCTCTTGCTTGAAGCATGAACACTGCACTGACAACTTTGTCAAACATCTGTCAGACACTCATTCGACCACATATTTCACTTAAACTATCATCTAACAAAAATTCTACAACATCACTGATTCCCACACCCAAAATTTGAAATGTCCTAGAAAAAAAGCACTGAGGAGTGGTTAAATTAACTCCCACCTCACACCAGAAAAGTTGGGAATCCTAGAAACACACAGAATCAATTCTGAAAAAGAAATCAGATGGAAGAGTTATCTTTTCTCCAAAAGTCAGTCTGAGAGACACAGGCAGGTGGAATGAGGGACACTGAGGGAGTGTGCCAGACTCCTGCTGCTCAAATTAAACTGCATCTCCTGTCTTATCTCCCTTGGTAAATCCATGCCTGCTGAACCAGAGCTTCAATCACCATTATCCATCAGAGCTGTTGGGAAAATGGAGTTCTTCATTTGCAATGGCTGGAGAAGCTCATACCCCACCCCTGGGCAGGTGGTATTGCCTTGGTTTTGCACTCAACAGAGAAATTGCTAAAATGGCTCCATGTAAATGGAGTTACTCTGAAAATGTGGTAAATCATCAGAAAAAAAAAGATTTCTTGTGGAAATCCTGATCCACTGGTAGCGATACCCAGAGGTTGGGAAGTGCTGGCACAGGGTGCCCAGAGAAGCTGTGGCTGCCCCTGGAAGTGTCCAAGGCCAGGCTGGACAAGGCTTGGAGCAGCCTGGGATAGTGGAAGATGTTGGGGTTGGAACTGGCTGATCTTTAAGGACCTTTCCAACCCAGCTATTCTGGGATTCTCTGATACCCATGGTGGTACTGGAGTAAATCCCACAGACACTCATAGGTAGAGCAATTAACCACTGGCTCAGAGTTGTTTCCTTCTGGGTTCTGGATTTGGGGTAGGCAGGACTACACCTACAGGAGCCCAGACATGTAATCACAGGCCAGTGAAGATATTAAATAACACTGACACTTCAGTGCTTGAAAATCAACATCAAGCCCTATTTTAGATGTAATCCACAGGCTATTCCACCAGAAGTCAAAATGGGGCTGGTGTTATTAATTTATAACCATGCAGCCTCACACAAAGTAATCCTACTGTTGAACAGGAAAAAAAGAAAAAAAATTATACATATACAAGAAATCAAGAGCAGTGATGATGCTTCAATTCGTTGGTTTTCCTCAGGCTTTGAGAAGAAGAAAGACATAAAACCATTGTATAGTTAAAGTAAAGCCTTGTGGGCAGAGCATTGTTGTGATTTGTTGTCTCTGCCTTATTTTCTGTTATTAATCTCACAGTGCCTTCAGTGAAAAGTTTTTGCTCTGATCTGCCTGCAAATGTTGGGCGATGGGGCTTTCTAAAAAGCAGGAGCTCTGCATTTGGTACAGGGACATTTTATGACAATTTGGGAGGCATCTGCTCAAAATGTCATTTTTGTAGGAAAAGAGTAGCTCCTGCTCACCATAAAAAAAGGAAAATTTAGGAATCAAAGCAGAGCAGAGCTTTCTGAGGCAGATACATCCAAGCTGGTACAGTGTTCCCTGCCACAGCAATAAGTGTAAGAGGCTGATTTAAGACGTTATTCCTTGGATCAATATTTCCCAGTATCTCAGCAATAACCTGGCCTGACCCTGAGTCAAAATCACAGTGGGGTGCTTTCATTCACACATAAAACTTTGAGATTTCAGGAAATGTTGTGGACAGTCCTCAAGGAATTGAGCTTTGCATTCCCGAGCATCATAACACAAAGGGATATTTTTTACTGGATTGAATGTTACTGACCAATTTGAGTCAAGTTCACAGGGGTGTTTTGACTCCTTACCATGAAGACAGTCTTGCTTGGAACACAGTGAACACTAAAAAATTACCTATGACAACCATGAGCATGCTAAAAACTTGAGACAGTTTAAAGAGGCAGATTTTGGGCTTGCATTTAATTTTATACTTCGTTCTGATCACATCTTGTAAGGTTATTGCACTGAAACCTTAAGTGGCTTATTCACTGAGAGCAGTATAACATTGTTTCCTATTTCCTCTGTTCCATGATAGTTTATTTATTTCCTCAAATCTGCACAGAAAAATCAAAGTAATGGTACTTTGGGTTTTAATATACTTATGTTGGGCAACAGGAGATTTAGCAAGCACTGGGAGGATATTTATAGCAATATCCTCACGCCACACTTCGTGCAATTTAATTAAAAGCAATCTTTCCTGAGAGTCCATTCAAAAATGGTGCCCCTAAGCTGCTGTGGGGGTAGAAAAACTATAATTTAGATGTCACACAAAAGACAGATCTTCATCATTTAGAAGTTCATTAGCACACTTGGGGAAAAGTAAGGACATTTTCTATGCTCTCTGAAAATTAGGGAAGTGCTTCAAAGCTGGGCACTGAATATATTATTCACCTTTGAAAAAGCAATTCCACGGGATCAAAGAGCCAGCAGTAACACTCAGCCTTTTTTTGAAAATTAATCAAAGCTCGAAGAATTGGCTGAGTTCATTGACAAGATGAGAAGGCTTCAAGAACTTGAAGGCTCTTTCCAGTGATCTGTTTCAGCTTCCCATGCCCTGCAATCCTAAAGCCTCACAAATAGGTTTTACGTCAAGTACATAAATCATTGACTGAGAATATTCATCACTGTTCTTTCTGCCTCTGCCTCCTCAGCTTGCATTCACTCAGATCCCATCTCAGATATGCTCTGAAATTAATCCTCTCCTCCCAGTCCCTGCTGTCTGTGCTTCCCCACTTCTTCTGATACGACTCTGATGCCTGAATATTTTAGTTTTCCCTCACACGGAGTTGTCTGCCATTCATGTCACACACAGATTCACACCCTGGAGGATTAAAACTCACCTGGTATTTTAGAATACTGAAAAGCACAGCAAGGACAACTCCTGCATCCCCATTTTTAAGTGTGGAATGAAGTGTTCAGTTAGTCCTGAAAGTTGGCCAGGATTGCCAAAGACATCAGGCAGGAGAATCAGGATATGCTTTGAAATACACACATTTTTTCAGTGAAATTTTGATGGGCGGGAAAGGCTTTTAGGATGGAGGAAAAAATAAAAAGCTGAAGAGAAGTTGAACAACATACAAAGAAAACCTCAGCCTTTTTCATAAACTTCCCAGTCTGTTGAATGTGTCCCATCTAAACCTTCCCTCTGCCTAGCTCCTCAAAAAGCCAAGTTCCAATTAAAAATCTCTGAGCCTGGGGAGTGCAGGACACCGCAGCTGATTTTCACACGTGATTTGGAGGGATGTGGGGCCCACCCTGAGCTCCATGAGCTCCTGTCCATCTCACAGCCACGTTCCCAGTCACTTCCCTAAAAACCTTCCTGTCCAAGCCCTGGCCTATGAGTAATTCTGGGATATTTATAATGCTATGTGCGTAGTGTTGTGTCCCGTCAGAAAAGAAGAAACCATAAAAAATAAAGATTTCTCATGCAGTAAAACAGTCAACTCAACTCTTAGGAGCTCAGTTGCATCCATCTAGGTTTTTTCCACCATCCCCAAGCCACTGTGGGCTCTGAAAAGCCCCAGGTGACCCCAGCAGGGACAGAGCTCCAGTGCCCAGCCCTGAATTCAGCTCTCACACAAAGTCCTGCCCTCAGCCTCCAGCCCTGACACCACCCTGATCCCAGAAGCTTCCAACCCCAAAGCTAAAACCTCATTTCCAATCTTTTTCTTCAGCCAGTAAAACAGATTATTTCATGAGTCTTTTTGGTTGAAAATGACTACCTAGAGGATATTTTCTGTGTTTGTTTTCTCTCTCTAACTCGATTACCTATGGAAGAAGGGAAACTGAGACACTGATTGCCTCCCAGTCATTTAGAGGAACATATTTACATATTTTCAATATTGTTTTCAAGACATTGAAGCAATTCCTGAATGCTCTTCTGTGGATTGGACTGTATTTATATGACTGTGTTTAACTCCATAACCTTACAGAGAACAGCACTTGCTATACATATTTATCCATGTATATCATTATATTTATTCACTCATAGGTATTCTTTATGAGAAAACACAGCCACACTAATTTATTTTGTTTATGAATGCTGTGTAATTAGGATTACCTTGAGAAAAGTTAATTTATCAGTGCTCTGCTAAATTGGGTAGAGCATTTAATTATTACTAATGCTTGAGGAATAAAAACACTAATGACTGAAGATCCCCATTTTCCACTATTGCAAGTATTCCTGTAAATTAAAAAGAAATTTCTCTTTTTTTGGTATGATTTTTTTTGCAGGTGGGATTCATGTTATCTAATCCCAAAGTCCTGGAACCTGGAAGTCAAAGTCCTACAGCAAGTTCATTTAATTGATCTGTATCCCTGGGGTGTTTCCATCTCTTCCCTGTAATACTGAAGGCTCAATGACTAGCTTTAGACCAGATTCCTAATTTTAGACAGTTAATTGTAGATGATTAATCTAAATTCCTCCATCAAGCCTCCCTTAATGATCAGTGAAAGCAGACAAGGGAAGGATTCCTCCTCCTTTGCTCAGACACCAGTTTGAGGACAGTGACTGCCTGTACAGGAGCCTTCATTAACTCCCTCCAGGCTAAAAAAAACCCTAAAACCAGATTATTCCACACATCCAGCTCCCCATGGAGAGGAACTGAAGGTCTGCAGGGACCAGGGTGGTAGAGGAAGCACAAATTAAACACAGAAATTGAGACACCCAGCTTAGTTTTACTGGGAGCTCAGCATCTTGCCATGGGTTTGGATCCATATGTCCATTAGCACAAGAAATGCTTTGCTGAAGGGATTGTACAGCTCAGTGGTGACCCACCTGTGTTTCCATTCTCACCTCCATTCATTAGATCAGACTAAAGCCCTTCCCAGAAATGGGAAATATAGCTGTTTGCAGAGGAAAGCAGTTTAGCACAGCAGGGAGAGCAGTGAAGACAAAGTCTTTTCTGCTCTTTGTCCTCTGCTTCCTGAGACTCTGAACTCTTTAAGACAGGAAAAGTCATTTTCAGGCATTTCAGCCTCCTCTGCTCTCTGTTCCTTGTCACTTACCAGTGAATGGTAATTCTTTTAGTGTCAAGGACTCTATTCTTCAAGGCACAAATACATCCCTGTGGAGCTGACAGGAGGTAACAGTACCCAGCTCCACAGAGGAAGTTTTCAGGATTAGCCCTCTGCTTTATTTTCATATCTGATTAATAACTTATTTGCAGAATACATACAGGAATTATTTCTCTGCTCAGACATGATCCTTTGGAACAGGAGGGGATTATTTCCTCAGTACATCCTGGGGGACTCAGGCCTTCCCTGACTCTTCCACTGAAGATGCAAGGAGACCTAGATTGAGCCACAATACCCCACTGACACCCAGAGCACTGCCTCTCACCAGACATGGAGCTGATGCTCATATTTTGAGGCCAAAAGCTGTGTAGAGCACGTAGCTTATAGAATTCCTCTCGTTATGGGCACAGCCTGCTGCAATATGCTGCAATATTAAAATGATGTATGGCAGCCCCCAGATGTGCACAATCCATCACTCCAGATCAGCTCCACTCTGCTGACAGCTGCAAGAATGAGCTGTGCCTCCATTAGGTGTAAAAAAGGCTGGCCCAGATGCCAAAAATCACTTTACCTGCAGCAGGCTAAGCCTTTAGGCTGCCTGGTTTTGCATGAAAGAAGATGATACACATGATAAAAGCTACACTGGTGAGCTTTGCATAGCAAGGACCCACAAGCTATCCCTTCTACATAAATCTGTGTGAATACAGAGGAAACTACAAGATCCAGGGGTTGTGCAGGTGAGAAAATTTACATCCCATCCCTCACTAATTGGAAATGAAAGGTCAGGATCAGTCAGGATTTAGGCTCTTGCAGTTATCCACAGAGGAAAGCAGGCCCTAGAGAAGCCCCCACTCCATCTGGCTCTCTCAGGACAAGATGGAATGTTTCTTGGGAAGGTGACTCTCTCCTTCCTGACTCCTGCTGAATCCCAGACCACGCTGAACACTTCACTGTGAAATGAGTAAAGTTTGAATTAACGAGTCCCTGGTAATCACACCCAGAGGAAAGGTTCCAAACACTTCCCTGAGGCTGAGGATTGAGGGCAAAGAAGAGAAATTCCTGAGCCTGGATTTGCACTAATTTTTGTTAAGCATCCCAGGCAGGAGCAGTGGTGGAGTGTGGAGGTCAGGGAGGGATGGCTGTGCCTGGATTATGTCCCTGTGCTCATCCATCTTCCCTGATGTCCAGTGGCACAGGATCACCTGCTGCCCTCAATGCACACAGACACTTTGTGCTCCTGCTTGGTGACATTGGAAACCTTCAGCTCTGAAAGCACCAGAAACCTTCAGCTCTCAAAACATCCCTGCCCTCTCAGAGAGGTAAATGTCCCCCATCCATCAGGAGGAGCAATTCTTTTCTAGCTATCCTCTTTGTCCTGCAAAGTTGCCTTTCTCAGGACAGCTGGGACAGCGACCTGTCCCCTTCTGTCTGTCTGAAGCCCTGCTACAGCCACTCTGATTTGGGAATGCTCTTCTGTCCTCTGAAAACTTCAACTCTAAAGAATGGAAATGAAAAGTCATTTATTAACAGCATCTTGAGTTTGGAAAATTTTAATGAAAGGATCTTGGTCTACACATTAACTCAGGGATATTTTTTTTTATTTCTTTCCCTCTAATATCGCTGTCTCATTTTCTATTTTCTTCTTAATCTTTTCATTGTTTCTCCTTTTTTCTGCCCCCTCCCCGTTAGGAGAAAAGTTACCCATCTCCTGCGGGCTTTCCCCCACCCCAGCTGCAGCGGGGCAGCTGCGGAGCCATCCAGCTGTGGCCGGGAGCCAGATGTGCGCTCCCCCCCCGCGCCAGCGCTTCCCCGGCGGTTCTCACTCACCAGCGGGAGCAGCAGCCAGCGCAAAGTTCTCATCCTCGGCAGCAGCCGCCGGGTCGTGCCGCTGCCTCTGCCCGTTGTGATGCTGCCAAAGCCGAGGCTCTGCCCGCCCCCACCTGCCCAAGGCCCGCCCCGAGAGCCTCCGAGCTCCCCGAGCATCCCCCGGCAGGACGGGAGCGGAGGGGAAAGGATTCCCGGCATCGCCCGGGGATGCTGGATTCACCTCCAGGCAAAATGCTGAACCGCAAAGCAGCGAGCTGGGACACCAGCGTGGCTTTCAGGGTGGGTTTGGAAGCAGAAATTGTCTGTGCAGACAATTGTCTGTGCAGACAGATCCTTGGAAAACCCTCTTGGTTTTCCAAGGATTTGGGTCTGAGTGGGTCTGGCAGCATGAGGTTCCCTTTGGGACACTTAGAGATGGAATTTTTGCATTTTAGCATCCCTAGCCTCTCAGAAGGAAAATTTTGTGCTATGACAGAATATCCTCCACAACTCGAATAAGATCTTTTTGGCCCTTGTGTCACAAAGATGTCTCAGGGCTCATAAGATCCAAGCACCAGCTCTCTTTTGCCCCATTGAATATTGCACCAAGATATTTTCAGGACCTGAGAGAACCAAAATTATGAACTTGACAAAAGCAGTTTTCCTTGATCAGACTGAAGTGCTGTTTCATATCCTGTTTATCACTCATTAGTTCCCAGTGGTGTTGAGCACAAGTTCTGTACAGTCAGAGGAGATTCCAGGCTTACATAAACTACCCCAAAATAGGCATTCAATGCCATTAGAAGAAATATTTATTTCTGCAGCTTTCCCCATAGGTGTACAGCTCTGCAACAAGTCTTGTGTCTGGTTTTCCAGCTCCACCTAAATATTTCAGATATGCAATAGATAACATTTGCAACCAAATTCTTGTTTAATCTGCTCTTTTCTATATATTTGTCTTTCATTACTGCAAAATGGCACCTAATCCCTGACCTGCACAGCCTCTGATGTTACTCCGAAAATCAAATTTGTGAGAAAACTTCAGGGGAAAAAAATATATCTGATTTTGACTTTTTCCCCATCTGTAATGAATAACTTAAAACTGTGGCCACTTTCACTAGTCAGCAATGTGGTTCCTGTCACACTGGAATAATTTTTAGGATCCCATTACAAGGCAGTCAACACATGCTGTCAGGCAGTTCCTATTTCTAATACAAAGAAAAAAGCAAAGTGCAGACCTGTCAATCAGCCCCAGGGCAGGTACAGGTCATAATCCCTGCTGAACTTTATTCAACCAACTCGAATATCCAAAATGAGAGAATAACAGATTAATTTGGGTCAGGGGATGGAGCTCTGCCCCCAACCCTCTCCCAACCCTCTCCTCTTACAACTCAAATTTCACGGTCAGGAATTTGTGTTTTAAAGGGAATTGCTCTCAGGAGCCACACTGTAAACACAAAAATACCACTGAAGGAACATGTGTGCCATTCCAGCCTCCAATATTTCACCTGGATTCTATTATTTAATGCCTTGAAGGTCACTTAAATGAGGATTTTTAGGTTCTCACAACCAGCTTGGAGCAAGCCCAAGTGTGAACCACAATTTTTTTGGTAATTTTTTTATGTAGTTTTTTGGCAAACAGTTTTTAGGAGAAAGCATTGCCTGATGGAGCAGATATGGTCTCTCAGTATTTGCTTTCTTATACATTTTCACTCCTCCATCTGCTTTTCCTATCCCATCTCCAGCTGATCAAAAAAGCAGTCTACATTCCCGTCCTTGAGATTTAAATTATTTACCTGGAAATTCCTCTTGTAAGAATATTTTTCCATCCTTATAAGTAAATCAAGCCTGGTTTTATGGGTTTTTGTAACATCTCACTGTAGTTAATATTATAAACCTCACTTACATTAAAGTCTCAAATTTCCTAAGTCATCTCACATCCCTTCATTACTTCAAACACATCCTTAAAAACTTATTTAGTCTAAATACCAATTTCTGTTCATCATATTATTTTGTGTATTCATTTTACTCTTTGATGTTTCTCTGTATGTACCCAAAGCTCCAATAATGAAGAAATGCAGGAAAAAAATCATACTTATTTCTTGTAATATTTTCACACACTCTGATGCATTTTGATACTTTTTGTCACAAAATAGGTCCTTGCCTGATAAACTGCCTATAACTAAGCATTATTATTTTTTTTTTCTCCAAGAATTTCAGGATAACTCATCAAAGATAAGAACCATATTTGTTTTCCTGCTGCTCCACAACATCAACCTGGGCTCAGAACACGCCAGATGTGCATAAAAACGTCCTCTTGTTAACAACAACAAGCCATTGTGTTGGTATGAAACATAATCAATGAGGCAACAGACCTGAGATTCCTCCTAATCCCCCTCATGGATATTCTGAATCAATTGGTGCCATTTAATGAAAATTACTTGACATTTCCTGAGCACCTTTGTGGAAGCTGGAGAATGGGGTTTCAATACCATATGTTACCTGAAAATGGGTTTTTCATCATAAAAATCTTCCTGAAATGCACCTGAATTTCCTCCAGCAGCACTTCAGGCTGGAAAATAGGGTACCCCAACTCCATTCTGCAGCATGAGCCATCAGCCAGAGCATAAAGGTCAATTTATTGACATTTCTAAACAATCTTTTGACAAATCTGACTAAAGATGCAAAACAAAAAGCCCTGGGATTATGAGAAAGAGGTTGCAATTACAGAGAGCACATAATTCAGTGCTCAGGCAGAACATGGTGTTACTGAGAAACATATTGTGACTTTAATTAACAGCAAAACTTCATGGTCTTAAAAAAAAGGAGGGTATAAAATAAGGATGGAGGTTTTATTCCTGACAGTGATCTCTGTAGGGTGTTTGAGACACAGGGGTGAGAGCAGGAAAATCAAACAACTGAAGGCAAAATGCTGGGTGTGAGATACTAAAAAGGGAAGGCACTAAATATCAGACAAGTGCCTGGAGTTGCATGAGGATAATTTGTCCAGTTGATGTTCTCTGCAAGCCCTCCCTGTGCTATCTCCTCACTGGTTTTTTAGGATAAAAATTGACTCCTGCCATGTCCTGTGCCCAATTGCTGTTACTGTTCCTTGGCCTGGCCCCAGGGACACCTCCAAAATAAAGACAGAAATCACAGACCCTTGAATTACATGGATTCTGTCCTACTTGTTTGATCTGTAAACTTAATTTCATCCAAGTACCTAAGGTGCTTTGTGCACTTGAAAAACATGTCTGATTGGTACTCATCTTCCACAAACATACTATTTAACTCTTTTAAAAATAAACTCCTTTAATCTTTTCAGCACTAAAAAAAAAAATCAATCTGTCAGCAATCCATTCTCTACTTCCATTGTATTTTATTCAAGAATAAGCAAGTCATTTTTTCCAACCTAAGGGAAGTTACTTTTCCCAGTGACACACAGTGAAATCTTCATTCCTATTAATAGTCTCTAAAGAGTTGATAGACCAGCTGTTCTTGTCCTCAGAAATTGTTTTATGCATTGTATTATTCATTGGTTTTCTTCCTTTCCTCTGGCCACGTCAACTCAATTTCAATTCTATTTCTTTTCCAAGAGGAGGAGAAATAGGTTTTTATTCTCTAAAATGCAAGTTTAAGACTAAGCTTGCTGCCTTTCTTAGGGCCAGGAAAATATTCATATTTCTCCTAGGTACAGATTGAGTCTATAAAATCAAATTTGGGTAAGCAGGAATAACCTGCTTTTAACATCACGGAAGTCTAGTTATTAACGTATACTGGTCTTTGCTTCTTTTATGTTTAAAAGAGAGAGTCATGGAATTCCAGGATGGGCTAGTGTCTTGGTTTGAAAAGACAGGTGTGTGATAAGGAAGGCAGGAGCCTCCCTTGAAATGGAAAATATAAACCCACTCCCTCCAAATTATCATCATTTTGAAATTAAGGAGTTCTCAGGCAAAGATATGGGAATAAGAATAATAGGAAAAATAAAAATAAAAATAAAAATGCAGTAATACAAAACAGAGAGTCAGAGCAGGCCCTGGCAGCCTGTGGGTCAGGGAGGTGGCAGCAG